TATATGATTCCCAGTGGGAATCAACCTACAATGGCCAACGAGCCTCAGAGCTGAGACTCAGAGACTTTCTTCTCTCTCTTTCTCTCGCAGTCACAAACATAAATGCACTCATTTTCACTCGCCTTCCTTTTCGAAGCTACTTAAACCGCACATCTCTCTCACTCTGTTTTTTCAACTCAGAAACTCAAAGAAGACTGCAGGTTTCCAACAAGGTAATTTTCAGCTTCTGGGCTTCTCTCTTTCCATTCCCAATCCACGAATATGGGCGTACCAATTCAAGCTTGAATCCCCACAAGCTTTTTGGAAATGAGATGGATCCACCAACTCTGATGAACCAACCCCCATTTCCCAATAACCCAAATGCCACTCCCAATCTCACGCCCTACAATCTCTCCGAGATCTGGCAATTCCCCATTAATGGCGCCGCCACCGGCGTTGCGGAATCTGGACCCGGCCTCGGCCTCAGGGTGCCCCACTTCCCCCACTTTGGAGAGGTTTCGCCTACTGATCCACTCTGCGTCAGCGCCTTGCAGTTGCAGCACCGCCATGGCGCCTCCAAGAAGCGGCGTGATGCGGACCAAGATTCGCCCAAGGTTAGTTCCACCAGCAATGCCAATGCCAATGCCAATAGCGGCGCCGTGGTATTCGTTTCTTCTCTCTCTTAATCCGAATGATTCGCGTTACATTGATCTGAATTCTTGCCTTTACTGGTTGAATCTAGAATGGAATTGGTCAAATGAAACTCAGAATTTGATCTGTTTTTGTTTCCTGGGTTTCGTTTGGTAATGAATCCTTAACAAAAAGAATTGGGATCATGTCGTGATTATATTTTCTTCCTGTCCATCAACTGTTCGACAGAATGACTCTGGTGGAAAGCGCCTTAAAACGGTAGCGTGTAGAGATGATAATCACGAATCCAAAGCAGAAGCAGAACCCAGATCTGGAAAGGCAGAACAGAACTCCCAGCCCCCTCCAGAACAACCTAAACAGGATTACATCCATGTGCGAGCCAGAAGAGGCCAAGCAACTGATAGCCATAGTTTGGCAGAAAGGGTAATGTTTTAGTATTACCAACTGCAGTTATAAGTGTGCTTCTGAGTGGTCATTTTCTTAATTAATGTAACATGACTTTGCTTTCTCTGTGTATCTGTTGGATTCTTGAGTATCTCTTTCTGATTAGAATCCTCTGTTGGACAGGCTAGAAGAGAAAAGATAAGTGAGAGGATGAAAATTCTTCAGGATTTGGTCCCAGGGTGTAATAAGGTACCCCCTATTTGTTTGAGATTATTTTATATAATCCCATTTATGAGGCCAACTTGTCTATGATCTTTCACTCTAAAATCACTCATTAGCTTTTCAAATAAGCAAATGAACTTTTCCTTTGAGCAAGAGCTGAGACGACCTTTATGATAAGGATCCTTTAACGACTTCATGTTATCAGATTTGTTTGAAATCTTTGAAAAGTAGTTCTCCTATATACCATCCAGCCCAGGTGTTTTGATCCCCTCAAATCATTTTGACAGCCTGCCTAACTTCATCACCTCTTCAGTAGTTGATTGTCACTTTTTAAGCATGGAATTAAGAAATTGGAAGTAAAGTCGGTTTCTCTCAGGTCATCGGAAAAGCACTTGTACTCGACGAGATAATAAATTACATTCAATCGCTGCAGCGTCAGGTCGAGGTATTATTGGTGCCTTTCTGGTTATAGTTCTTGTTTTCCGTTAGATAGATTCTGATAAGTCCTGAACTCCGTGGTTATCAATTTTCACTTGATATGCAGTTCTTGTCAATGAAGCTTGAAGCAGTTAATACAAGAATCAGTCCGAGCATGGAAATGTTTCCATCTAAAGATGTAAGTATGAGAAACAGATTTGCTTTTCATGTTGTTAGTTGATTCAATGTATTCACTTGCAAAACCGAATCACACTTGTCTTTTCCCTATCAATCTCAACTTCGTATCTAAATGAACGAGAACTGTGGGCTTAATCTTTTCTCATTATGGAGAATTAAAGTGAACTCTTCATTCACGTAGCTGGCGAGAATTACATACAGTTGGGAGTTTCAATGCAATAGAGTAGATGGATATGGCCATTTCTTATGCCCCTTTGGTACATAGCTATCAGTAGAAATTAGGATTTCGATTTAAAGATAGAAAACTATGGTTATTTTGATGTGTTTTAAATTAGGCTCTGTGAAGAAGAAACTAGGAACCAAGTGTGGGGGCTGAGAAAACCATCTCGGTTATGCCCAGTTCGCGCACGCAGGAGGGGGGGGGGGGGGTGTGATTCTTGAAAGATCGAGAGAGATGATATATTTTTTTTTCCCCTTCAAATATCCTTTTGTGATAACAAATATAATTTTGCATTTCAGTATGGCCAACAGACATTTGATACAACTGGTGTTGCATTTGGTTCACAAGCAACAAGAGAATACAGCCGTGGCTCATCACCCGAATGGCTGCATATGCAGATTGGTGGCGGTTTCGAAAGAACGACATAGTAGTCTAGTAAATTCTCTCAACCATTCTAATAAAAGCAAAAGAGAGGCTATATATGACCTCCATTAGAGCTCTCAACAAGTATAAGTGAGTATAGTCCATATGGAAAAATCAAAGGTAGACTTAATTTTTACATTCAGGCATGAAAAGATATGGTTGCTGTTCATAGATTTGCTTCTTTTAAGTTAGTGATTGAACATCTCCCCTCTATTAGTGTGTTGGGAAGTAGACTCTCTGATCTCTTTGCTCATAAACTTCTCCATAAAAATACTAAAAGTTAACCCCGCTGAAGAAGCATTATTCTTGTGAAAATAAAGTAATTGCTTGGAATGAATTTTCAACATATTCTTGTTGCAAGCCTTTTTTTCCCCCTCTCTCTGGTACCGTGCTTGTAATTTAAGAAGTACTGATATGGATACGGATACGACACGACACAGACATGGTGATACGTAATTTTCTAAAAATCTAGGACATGTAGATGACACTGTGTCACGTAATTTTCTAAAAATCTAGGACATGTAGATGACAATGATACATTTATTAAAATATACATTTTTATAAGTATATATCTTTTTTATTTTGAAAGTAAACTCATAGTCAATAAGCTTATGCATTTTTATATTTGAAAAAATGAGTTAGTATTTTACTATCAAAATTTATTATTTTGTCCTCTATTAATATTTATGTCTATTTCTTACCTTTAACAATTTCGATACATGCCTAACGAGTGTCGAATCTATATTCTCCTTGAACGACTAATGTTGATATACTTATACTCAGCTAACAAGTATTCGATACGTGTTCAATAAGTGTCGGAGTATCTGACATAGACACGTTATCGAAATTGAAGTGTTTGGTTATCGAAATTGAAGTGTTTGTACTTCTTAGCTGGTAATCCTCGAAAATAATACCATATCTACATTTGAGTTGCTAATAATGGATTATGGATTTACTTGAACAAAGATTCTGATTATTGACTTTAAAAACAAAAATTGATGACAAGGACTAAAATTGAGTTTTTATCCCAAGTTTGAGGACTGTTGGAGGCTAATTGATGAAGACCAGCCTGGCCCGAAGTCGACCTGGTCTACCCTAGATACTTAGGCGCGACCAAGGATCCTTTAGGCGTTAAATCCAGAGACAAGCATGGACCAATGGTCCTTGGTAGGAGACCACTCCGAGCAACGAAATACCCTGATGGAATAGGTAACTATTCCTTTGACTACTAATACACCTCATTCTATTGAGTCAGGTAACAAGAATCTGTCTGAAGTTGATATGTTCTAAACTTGGATATCGAACTAATTTGAGCGTCGAGATGGTTTACCTGTTATTACAGGTAGTTCAAAAGAGCTCGTTCCAGACGGTTCGTAACGACCTAACAGGTCATCCCACAGGACTTAGGCAGATTTTGGGGTCAACAAAAACTAAATAGAAAATAGGAAAGTTTAAGAATAAAAACAAAATGCTTATAAAAGAAAAGGACCAAAAATAGAGTTTCAACTAATTAAAATAATAAAAATGGGTACAATAAACTATAGTTTGTCTGTGTACATGGGCTCATACAATGTTTTTCTGATTGCTGTATTATTTTTCAGAAATTCTTCGCACGACCATTTCACAACTAACATTTTCACACGTGTCTATTTGTTAGAAATATTTACAATTTTGAATTTCTAAATTTGAAGAAATATTTTTTATTACCAAAATACTCTCCTTTACAATTCATCTACCACATTTATTATGATATTTTAATTTATATTTCTTAATAATTTAATATTTTATTTAAAATTAGTATATTTACTAATGATTAAAATTTAATCTTGTAATCTTTTTAATTCTTTCCCTATCCTATTAACCATATTCTTTCCATTTCAACTACATTTATTATGAGATTTTAATTTAGACTTACTTACTTAATAATTTGATTTCATTTAACTCAAATATATTTATTAATAGTTAAAATTTCAAAACTTGAATATTTCTTATGTTATTTTAAATTTATTCTTTTCAAATAAATTCATATTCATTTAAGGCAAATATTAATACTCCATTATTATTTTTCAAAAAATGAATCCATATTACTTAAAACAATTAAATAATTTCATTATGTATATTAACCCATGAATTTCTTTATTAGTCTATTTTATTTATTTATTTTTATTGGCAAACATCATTTGTTTTATTTTTTTATTTTATATCACTTTTATTTTCCAGCAAAAATCGTTATTGTTGGTTATTTATTTATTTATTTTTTCAAAAATCATCCGAATTTATTTATAATTTTTTTCCCAGACATTGTCGGTAACTATCATTGACCTTATTTTTCGGTTGAAATTTCTGGGCTCTATATCCCATATATTTACTAGATGTATATATTCAATTATGATGAAATAATTTGTATACAACTATGAGATCATTACGATCCACATGGTATAATTTGTATACATCTTTGAGATCAGTATTATGCATATGGTATGATTTGTATATATCTCTAAGATTAATATGATGCATACGATATAATTTGTACATTTCCCTAAGATTAGTGTGATGCACACGGTATGATCTGTATATACTTTTGAGATCAGTATGATACATGTGGTATATTTGTATTTCATGATTTATGATGCATCTGGTACAATAGTCATAGTGATTAGTATATCACATATACAAAGAACTCGCATGCATATTACAGTACTTATAAATCATAACCGAATATTTGATATATACCCAAGATACATGATAATAATTGGACTTACCGTCACGCACCAACTACAATTTCGTCAATAACCTGCCCTTGCCATTGACCAATTAGTAGATTGTCAACCTAGTGTCGTCTAGCGGGATGACGTGCCCTTGCCACTGACCAATTAGTAGAATGTCAACCTAGTGCCCTCAAGCGGGACAACGGAGTGGCCTGTAGCTTGAAGCATTTGAACAAACGATTTGGAGCCTTTGATGAGGTTGAACCTTTGAACGGTAGATGGGTCATCATCCCTATAATTATCTGACTTTTTGGGATCAAACTTCAAGGACGTTAATACATGTATGTTTTCAATATTTTATAAGCCTTTAAAAAAATTTAATAATAAGCAAAACAAAATACAATATCATAATATAACTTTATAAAATAAAATAAAAAAACTTTTATCATCCTATAGAAAGTTTTATCTAAAACATAATATTAAGATAAATAACTCTTAATACAATCAAAATAAAAAGGGAAATTGACATAAATGGTCTTCCAAGAAAAACTTTTTGCTCAAATGACCCACCCCTAGAAAAATGTTTCTAATGGCCAATTAGTACTTTTTCTGACGCGTCAGTGGGAGTAAATGTATCCAACTACCTTGAAAAAACGACTAAATTCTCGGGCGAGGTCGAAAATTTCACGGGCGAGAAATGTAGAGAATTTGTTAACCTACATTAATTTCACGTCCGTGAAATGCATTTGTCTTGACCGAAAATTGAAGTTTTTCAATTAAGGAAAACACCTAACTCCCATATTCAAAAAACATTCCCACGAAGGACTTTAATTTTCATCAGTTCATCTTGTACTCAGCTCTGAGAGAACAAAAAGAACTACGTACCTGCAAATTACCTCTGACTTTTCCATCTGAAAGTGATATTTTTGTACATCAACAAGGTAGGTGATATTTATTTTTTAGAATATGTTTGTTTTCACCTATGAACTTGCACATTTGCATCTTTTGTATAATTTTTTTTCCGTTTGTAATTTTAATTATGAACAAACTATTGCATTGATTTATAAAATTAATGTAGGTCAAAAAATACACCGGTTCGCCCATACTTCANAATTACCAGGAGACTTTAAAGAGTGCTCTGCTATAACTAGCTTGAATCCTGTTATGTTTGATGAGTTTTATGACTTGTTAGTTACAGAGATTGAAAAAGAGCTTGATAAGATAGCAGAAGGACCGGAAGATGTGACTAATCCTATTGAAAAAATACAAAAAGAAGAATGCAAGTCGTTACTTCCGTCTATAGTAGAACCACCCACTTTGGAGCAGAAGCCATTGCCGTCACATTTGAAATATGCGTATCTAAGGGATAACAACACTTTACCAGTTATTATGGCTTCCAATTTATCACCTACTAATGAATATTCTTTATTGCAGATTTTGGAGAAGCACAAAAAGGCCATTGGATGGACGATAACAGATATCCGAGGGATAAGCCCGACCTTTTGCATGCACAAAATCTTATTGGAAGAAGATGCTAAGAACTCTATTGAGAGTCAAAGGCGGTTGAACCCGAAGATGAAAGAGGTTGTAAGGAAAGAAATTCTTAAATGGCTTGACGCCGGTGTTATATACCCAATATCCGACAGCAGCTGGGTAAGCCCAGTACAGTGTGTACCAAAGAAAGGGGGTATAACCGTGGTGGCCAACGAGAAGAATGAGCTCATCTCAACCCGAACTGTGAGTGGGTGGAGAGTTTACATTGACTATCGCAAACTCAACAAGGTAACGAAGAAAGACCATTTTCCTCTACCGTTTATTGACCAGATGTTCGACCGTCTGGCAGGTAAGGATTTCTATTGTTTCTTAGATGGATATTCGGGTTATAATCAAATTACTATTGCTCCAGAAGACCAGGAGAAGACAACATTTACGTGTCCGTATGGTACGTTCGCTTTCAGGCGAATGCCCTTTGGATTATGCAATGCACCCATGACTTTTCAGAGGTGTATGATGGCCATCTTCTCTGACATGGTAGAAAATACTCTAGAAGTTTTTATGGATGACTTTTCTGTTTTTGGAAATTCTTTTGACGCATGTTTAGTTAATTTGGAGAGAGTGTTGGAGAGATGTGAACAAACAAACCTAGTCCTAAATTGGGAGAAGTGTCATTTTATGGTACAAGAGGGTATTGTTTTGGGGAAATTGACATAAATGACCTTCCAAGAAAAACTTTTTTGCTAAAATGACCCACCCCTAAAAAAATGTTTCTAATGGCCAATTAGTACTTTTTCTGACGCGTCAGTGGAAGTAAATGTACCCAACTACCCCTGAAAAAACGACTAAATTCTCGGGCGAGGTCGAAAATTTCACGGGCGAGAAATGTAGAGAATTTGTTAACCTACATTAATTTCACGTCCGTGAAATGCATCTGTCTTGACCGAAAATTGAAGTTTTTCAATTAAGGAAAACACCTAACTCGCATATTCAACAAACATTCCCACGAAGGACTTTAATTTTCATTAGTTCATCTTGTACTCAGCTCTGAGAGAACAAAAAGAACTACGTACCTGCAAATTACCTCTGACTTTTCCATCTGAAAGTGATATTTTTGTACATCAACAAGGTAGGTGATATTTATTTTTTAGAATATGTTTGTTTTCACCTATGAACTTGCACATTTGCATCTTTTGTATAATTTTTTTTCCGTTTGTAATTTTAATTATGAACAAACTATTGCATTGATTTATAAAATTAATGTAGGTCAAAAAATACACCGGTTCGCCCATACTTCAATGGCGAGTTTCTCCCTAAAAAATGGGATCCTCTCTTGAGTTAGAGTCGCGRGATTGGAACCCGTTACATCGTACTCAAAAAACTTAACACAGAAAATACCACAATCACCTGAACCAGTCTGCTGTGGAGCCCCGGTTACTCGACGGATGCGCCATGGTACAGTGGGTATGGTAGGCCTCAAAACCCTAACTCCGGCTCTACACATCAACGCTGGGAGAATGACGCTCATCGGCTTCAACTCCTCCTCCAGAGTAGCCGGTGTTGTGATTGCCATCATAGAATCCCATACGATGATCTCACCTTCTTGCATGTCGATGCAAACCATGATCCAATGATTTCCACCGATGTTGTACGGCAAGTATACAGCATCGAGGTCCAGCCACCGTGTCTCATAGTTTGTGTGAGTGCCGTCGMYATAGCTCATGATCGTTTTGTATCGACTCTCCCAGTCATATTCTKCYGACACTATTGCTGGAAYGRCATTGGGGGCGATCAATCTCTGGTATATACCATCGGTCCGGCGGAAGAAGTTCTACAGTTGACAATAGAACATGATTAGATCATGGTCAAAACCTATAATACTACGCAAAACTTATAAAACTACATAAAAGCATACCGCAAGCAATATGTCACCAGTCGTGAATCTCCTAGAGCACAAGTCGGGACGCTGCTACAGCTTGTTCCGTGTGAACATGAACAACGAATCGATTACCTGTGCGTACCGATATTGTTACACACATGAAAACAACGCTATAAATTAATAGTATAGTTTTGATTCCGTACCTCGCTGGTCAGCCACTTGTCCGACGTTAAAAGGTCACGAAACCACGTCTTGTCCTTCTTACCATAGCACGATTTCCTCTTCGCATGCTTCGTGGTAGGGCTACTCATCCAATTGTGGAACTTGGTGACCTGCTCAGGAGGGATCCGTACTAGTGGATCATACTGGATAGCCTTCTTCTTCCTCCCGTCCTCCATGACCACAAACGATCCACAGAGCTTCCACGATGCCTTCCTCTTCCGAGAGCCACGTCGCGGATTCGGTGGTGCAACTGGCTGCGATAGCACACGAACCTCATCTCCATCCACGTGTGATTTAACCTCCCTCGTTTCCTCC